TCGTGCGCTGAGTGCCACCTTCATTAAGTATCTTCTACATACCGCTCTATAACTTAAAAACGTTGCACCAAGTCGTCTGACCTTGTGTTAACTCACGTTAAAGAGCACCTCATGCCCACTCTGCTGTGTGTGCAGAGGGTCTGTACGGTCCGTAGCGTTTTGTCTGTGTGGACCTCTGTGCTGCGCGTGGTTGACGCTCCGTCTCCCAATGACGCTCCGTCTGTGCGGACCTCTGTGCTGCTGGCGGCTCTCCCCAAGACTCCGTCTTTGCGGACCTCTGTGCTGCAGGTGGCTCCCCCGCCGGCGTCAGTCACCGTACTGACCGGGGGTCCCCCCCCCCCCCGACAGGTCGTGCACCAGCCTCAAAACGCCCAAGCACCCGCGCACCGCCTGGCGCATGAAGCGAGCCTCCCGCCGTTTAGCGCCGGTGTTCCGCGCCGTGGCGGCGTTCGAGGCCGTCGCTGTGCAGGTGAGCGCCCTCTCCTCCGGTGGCACGCTGGCGGCAGTGGACGCCGGGTGCTGGGCGGGTGTCATAGCATCCGGGTGATCTCAGTTGTGAGGGACTGTTGCCACTGATGTGCTCCCGACTGGAGATGCCGATCGTTGTTGGCTGGTCACGTGCACACACGAATCATTGGATGGGAACCCTCGGAGCCGGGAATGCATGCGATCAGCTGTTGATGCCTCCTTGGCTGCCGCCTGGTTGCGTTCTGTTGGGTGCGCGACAGAGATCCGTTGTGTAATATAGCCTTGACGTTGCAGCGTCCGTAACCCCACAATCTATGCTAGTAATGTGTTAGGAACACATTAAGATTAATATCATCATATGCTAGAAAACTGCCGCGGCCTGGTGACACCCCCTCCCCCCCCCCCTTTCTCCCTTCCGCGATAGGGGGAAGGCCCTTTGAAGGGTAACAGTCGTTGTGCGTGACCTCATCTGACCTCAGACGGCGCCGCTCCACAGCCTGTGGTCGTAGAGACGGATGGTCTAACCGCGCGTCAGCGACTGGAAGAGGCCGCCAATCGACACCAGCTCGTCCGGTCCCGCAGCCGCAACTACGAAGGTGAGTCGGCTTTCCTACGGGCGTTCGGAGCTGTCACTACACATGTCACACTGCGGGCCTGATCGTTGCCATCACGGCAGCTGTTCATATTTGTCGGTGGTGTTCGGCCACCGTCGCTGATGGGCAGCTGATGACTGCCCGGAGTCGGCATTCTGTCGGCTACACAATCGAATCCTCCCAAAACAAAAGGAAGCTGGTACATGGGTCTGGCTTACACGCCTCGCTCGAGCAGTGTGACTGGTATTTCTTATGAACTGTTGGCTACTAAATAGCGCAGCCTATGCGTCTGGCGATCATCAGATGTCGCGAGCGACCTAATCTGTAGTGTCATGCACCGCTCTTAACTCGTCCGCCGCTCCCCCGCCATTTACCACATGCCTCTCCCCAGACTCGACACTGGCCGTACCTACGTGGTGCTGTGGCGGCCAGTCTGACTCTCTCTGTTGCAGTGTCCTGTCCGCGTCCCGCGTGCGCAGCACGTGTACGAGAGGAGGACCAACGGCGTGCGCGGGCCTGGTACGAGCCTCCGTGACTCGCGGTGCCCATTCGCTTCATAGTGGCCGATTCAGACGGAAGCAGCGGCCTAGAGCGCGGCCTGCCCGGCCTCTTCTGCCCGCTGTGCGACGCCTGTGCCGCCGTCCAGGTGGGCCAGCGCTGGACCAAGCTGCTGCACGCGCCCGACGACCGCGACGGCTGGCGTCCGGATATCTGAGGTACGCCACGGGTGCCGACGAGCCGTCCAGCCGCGAGAATGTGATCGATGCTGAGTTTATCTGAATAAGTCGTCAACTGTCACTCGCTATGTCTGTGATGTGTTTGTGAACGACACCGACCGGGTCACGCGGAGCCGCTCTGGCTGTATTTCCGCCGTCAGTAATAATATTGGCGTAACTGTGATTGTGTGGCTGTAAAGCATCCTGTGCAGGCCCCCGCCTCCCTGTGCCGGCTGACCCGGCGGGTATCAGCCCTCGCCGCCAGCCGCGGGGGTGTTGATGCCGACAGGCAAGGCCGCGCTCGTTTCGGACTCGGCCGCGTCGCTGGGCGAATGGATCGTGTTGAAGTGTTTGGGCTGCTTGGTTTGCGGAAGGAACTTGCTACAACGCCTTAACCTCGGCGTATGTATTCTCATTGTGTAACTGTTTTATCTCTACAGACATGAAGCTACGTGCATGTTGTACATACCGAGCCATGCTTGGTTTTATAGTGGAAGAGGTGGCTGTGTTTTCTCGTGTCAATGATATTGTCTCAGAATCAGTACAATACACAATCGCATACTCACCAGTTGACTTTTCTGATAGGATCAGGCGCTTGGCCTGACGGTAACAGCCTGCCATCTGGCAGACGAGCCAGCCGTGTCCGCCTGCGGTAATCTGATGTCTGGCCTGGCTCACGCTTCCAGCCTGCACGTGGCACCCAGGCCCCCTATCTAGAGCTCCACATCACCAGCATCACAGACCGATCTGGTTGATGGCGTCTCCTTTCGTAGCGAGGATTTGAACATGAATGATCAATTTAATACAAACGGTCGGTTTTATGGCGTCAGAGACCCACGCTACGGAGTATCACGTTATCAGCTGCGCGATATGCGATTCGCAGCTGTTTAACAGTGTTGAAAATATTAAGAAACTATGTGCGCACGGTGGGCCGCCGCGATTGTCGCTGCACATATTTTTATAGCAGATTAAAGCAGACTCGCGCCAGGATCAGTAATGGATGGAATGGCTCAGCCAGGACCAGGCTATGTTCGCGTTCTCGGCGTGGAACACGATCCCGCACAGACGGTCTCGTGGATCAGCGAGCTCTACACCGCTGCCATCCACCGACCCGTGGCGCAACTAACGCGACCCGCGACGTCACCGCCACACGCGAAGCCAGATTGGGGGGCGGACATGTGGCAGAGCGGCGACCATCTTGCGACGGGGGTGGATGTCTCGCGACGTGGACGAACACCCATGCACTGGATGCATCTGGTGTGATACGCCACGCCAAAAGTGCAGACAGCAAACTGACGTACATGTGTCGCAGTTATCAGCTACCACGGACATCAGAAATCGCCGTTCAACAAGCGAGCGCCTGGTCTGGCTAGCAGAACTGTTATGCTGTTTGTCATCATGACACCCAACTGCTCAGAATACCAGCGTCGAAACCCGTTTAGTCCGTCGGCTTGTCCAAGCAATGCCAACCATCACGCATGGCATTCAGTTAGTTACAGCGCGCACCAGAGCGAGTGAGGCATTCAGAAGGATTTATTTGCAATGTTTCATGACGTTTCGACGCTCGATAACGCACTTCATAAACGGCGCATTGATGACATGAACTACAAACCACGTGTTCACCGAGGTATCTAACGCCCGCTTTCCACCACACTTCAGCGCGACCCGGCCGTTAGTGGGCCACTGCAGGTCTCCTGGAGCAGGCAGGATGCTAGCCCACCGCACGTAAACTCAATGTCGATGAAACCGCACTGCTAGAAAAGGCTACTAAACGAGACCCATTGTACACCCTCACTCGCAGTTGCCCGTCAACCATTTCAAAAATACGCTTCAAAACGGCTTCCAAAGGACAGAATCCACTAATCAAACGTGACCTTCTTGCCCTCGAACTTGCCGATGCTCGGGCTCTGGCTCTTCTTGGCCGCCCACGACGGATGGACGCCACCTGAATCAGGACAGACTGGCGTCAACCAACCGGCCGCCAGCCCGCCGGACGAGGCAGTCACCAGCACAGTGCACAGAGTCCAGAGGGCAGGGCAGCAACGTGCGGGAGAACACTCGGCTACCTTTAACGGCGAGATACGCAACGCGCAAACACCACACTGGCTGCGGATTATTCGCTTGTCGGGACTGACAAACAAATGTTCCGAATCTTCATTTCTTCCAACGACGACAAAGATACGACGTCGCAAGAAGCAATAAGGATACGAGAATGGATGCTTGCACTTGACGTCGGCAAACCGCCGGCGAGTGCACCAATAATAATCTGTCGCATCAGCCGTCCTCTGCCAGAAGACAAGAATCAAGGCGACGCCGCTAACTCGGTCCGTATTTTGTGAGACCCGCCTTTGCACAAAAACGAAGTGTACCCACCCGCACACCTCCGACAAGGGACAGTCAAAGCAGATCGTAATGACCCTGGTTACCGCACTCGTGCGACCGAACTTGATAGCGCAGTTGATCATGGGACAGGGGAGGGTCAATGCCCTTCCCCCGCCAGCCAGACATGTGCAGCGGAATAAGGACAGAGGAGACAAGTGCTGGTGATATGACGAACGGCAGCCACAAAGATTAGCACCGATTGACAGAGCGTTGTTGTTCTCGCAATGCACATCTACTTAATGCGACGACGACGCTGGAACAAGCGTGCCCTCACAACGCATAGAATGGGCGCGCCCAGCACGGGGAAAGCGCGGGAGAGGGGGGGGGGGGGGAGCAGCAACTAGCAGCACGCTGGCCAACTCACCGCCACGGCTGAATCCTCCTCTGCCGCCTCTGCCGCCGCGGTCCGAGCCGCCCCGGGCTCCGCCGCGGCCGAAGCCGCCGCGACCACGGCCGCGGTCCTCGCCGTCAAAGCCGCCGCGGCCTCCGCGGAAGCCGCCGCGGCCACGGGGCCGGAACCCGCTGTCGGAGCCGCCCCGGCCGCGGCCGCCGCGATCAGAGCCGCCACGGCCGCGGCCAAACGAGCCGCGCGGGCTGTCCTGGTCGAACCCGCCCCGGCCACGACCCCTGAACCCACCACGCCCGCCCCGATCAAAGCCCCCGCGGCCGCCCCTGAAACCGCCCCTGCCCTCTCTGTCGAAGCCGCCCCTGCCACCCCTGCCTCCTCTGTCGAAGCCGCCCCTGCCCCCTCTGTCGAAGCCGCCCCTGCCACCCCTGCCCCCTCGGTCGAAGCTGCCCCTGCCGCGACCCCTGAAGCCGCCCCTGCCGCGGCTGCCGAAGGGCGAGCGGCCACGGCCCCGGCCGCGCGGCGCGCCGTCGCCGTCGCCGCCCTCGCCGCCCGAGTCGCTGCCGCCGTCCAGGTAGCCTGGTTTCAGCAGCTGACGACCGCCGCCGACGCCGCCGGCGCCCGGCTCGTCTGAGCCCGACCTGTGGTCCGGACTCAGGTCAGCTCAGCAGCGGACGTGCCGTCGGCCGAGGAGGCATCACTGACCAGCGCTATTTGGCAAGTGAGCTTTGAGCCACACCACAGCTTGGAAGCAAGATGCCGGAGCTAAATGGCGCGACCTTTCGTGTTCCCGAAGCAAGGACTGTTTGCAACCGCTGTCAACAACAACGCGCACGCGGCCAATCGGTAATTTAATAGAGTACGAGGGCAAAGAACCAAGTGCAAATGTCGATGCGAAAAGCGCAAGGCATGTTGGTAAGGAAAGCGCAACACATTACAACAACGCAAGGCTCAAACCGCATCACTCGCGAGGTTGCAGTTCACGCAAACCTCGCGCACGGCTTGACGTAACGCCGAACCAGCGGGCCAGCCTGTCCACAGGCGGACTCACCCGTCGGAGCCGCCGGCAGCACCTCCGCCGCGGCCGCGGAACCGGCCGCGGTGGCCGCGCTCAGCGCCGCGCCAGCCGCGGCCGCGCGGCACGCGCTCGCCGTGCGCGCTGGCCTGCAGCTGCTGCCGCTGCACCATTCGGCGGCGGCCCTGCATCAGCACGTCCTCCGACGGCCCGGCCTCGTCGTCCTCCTCGTCCTCCTGACGGGCGGGACAGGCGAGTGAGGACCAACGCTGGGTACCGGGTGCATGGTGCCGGACGAGACGGGCGGGGCGGGAACGCGCAGAACGAGTCCGGAAGTTGCGACCGCGCCGCTTCAGACAACAGCAAAATAATTTGCACATCATCCATGACAACGATCAAGTGGCTTGATTTACAGGTAGCCCCGCCAACGGATATAAACTACAAAGTGCACAAATGGTCAGTCCCTTGACTAATCACGGCACTAACCGACAATGTCGGGCATCGCGCGGGAGAATTTAGCAACCAGGGTTACACCCACCCACCTCATCTTCCTCCTCATCAGAGCCTCCCATGAAGAAGGATGAGCGTTTCGAATTTGCTACTGGCTCATCATCAGACGCCATATCCTCGTCATCTTCGTCCAGGCTAATCTCGCCATTTTCACCAGCGTCGTCAAGCTTAATACGTTTAATCTTCATTTGTCCCTTGCTTTTGTCCATCAATGGCTTCATGTTCTCACGTGTCCGTTTCTTACCCTGCGCAGCGACTTCATAACCATCTCCATCAGATACACTTTCATCTTCAGAGTCTTCTTCATCTGCAGAGACTTCGTCATCTTCAGAAGCTTCATCATTATCGCCTTCATCTTCCTCCTCTTCCGCACCATCCTCCTCTTCATCGTCTTCCTCCTCCTCGGCACTGAGCTCCTCTTCATCGTCTTCCTCCTCCTCGGCACTGAGCTCCTCTTCATCGTCTTCCTCCTCCTCGGCACTGAGCTCCTCTTCATCGTCAGCAGGTGTTACAACTACACCTCCGTTCTTCTGAAGCCGAGCAGTGATTTGTCGGTCCGCTTCATCAGAATCTGCGTCATCGTCATCGTCGTCCGAGTCACCTTCCACAGCGGCATCATCAGCAGCGTCCTCGTCTTCGTCAGATGCCGGTTCGCTGTTGGCGTCATCACTATCATCTTCTTCGGCTTCCTTGTCTTCAAATGAGAAGCCTTCTGCGTCGTCTCCTTCCGAATCTGCAGCATCACTGTCCAATGCCTCCTCTTCATCAGCATCTGAAATACCCTCTTCGTCGCTTCCTTCACTTTCACGGGCGACGTCGTTGCTCGTAACACTGCTTGGCAACGTCGGCATAGCGGAAGCTTTCCGGTCTTTTTTACCTTTCTGAGCAGACAATGGCACCTGTTTTCCGTTGACAACTTTGGCTTCTTTGGCAGCATCGCTGTGTTCTTCATCACCGTCGGTGGTGACACCTTCCTCTCCGTCGCTTTCTTCATCTTCAGAGCCACCGCCACTATCATCCTCGCCCTCTGACCCTTCCAAATCCTCCGTCGTGTCAGAGGGACCCTTCGTTGATTCTGACTTGGACCGAGGGGGCTTTATTTTCACTAGAAGTCTAGGCACGTCTTTTTGCCAAGACGGGTACCGCTTGCGGAATTTCTCTACCGTTTCCTGAAGTTCTGGGAGCTTGGCAATCCGAGCCCTTGCTCTGTCGTCCATCGACGAGTTCGCGTTGTTAATAACGCTCTCCATATCCCTAGCTTCTGAGACCGCAAACCGCGCAACTTCATCCTTTTTCAGTTTCTGAAAGATAGAAATGAACATCAGACGCAATACACTGAGGATTCACTCTTTACACTTCCGAGAGCTGAGGCAGCAGGCATCTCGGTCGACCACAGCCTGAGCGCAGGAGACGTTACTGCGACTGCGATGCTTCACAACCACGCCGGTTGCTAACTGGCGCTAGTGTAGGTGTGCAAGCTCCGTACCTCGTCGGACGCTGCATGGTCAGGGAGTCATCAAAACCTCAACCAGTACCAGCTGTTTACTGGTATGACCTGCCCTGGGAGCCAGCGTCTAGACCATGGGGTCACGCCCTCCATAGATCACAGGTCACTGCCCTGGGGCCAAAAGCCCCCAGCATTCAATGAGAACTCCTTCGACGAAGTATACTCGCTTGGAGGGCATAGTGACTCTGGAATTATTCACACAGATCTTACCATAAAACGCTTTAGATGAGGATCCAAGATCCATAGCAGGTTTCGATAACAGGATATACCCATATCCTGGGTTGTTCTGTTAAATCATGTACATATTCTGAAGCTCTGTGTCCCAATGAGTCACAATGAAGGTGTAGTACCTTGGCTACGGCAATTTCATGCCTCAGACGCTGCAGTTTTCTGGCATTCTTCTCTTGTTGCTTTGCTGAGCCCTTCTTTTTCTCTAGCTGGGCAATGTTGCGTGTTAGCCTGTTTATGGCCACAACTTTGGCTTCCTTGACCAGTTTTCTTACAGAAACAACCTAAAACAGGAAAAAGACGTTTAGACGGACTAAGTTCGTAATGATGGTAGGTTGTCCATATGACTCTCAATGCACATATTACAAAGTAGGTCTGGATCAGAGCTACTTTAACTACAGTCAGCACAGTAAGTAACCCACGAAAATTGGATTCTTCGCGACCCGATACATCCTGAGCACTACATGCAACATGTCAAAAGTTGGCACACATTTGACAGCTTGCAGCTTATTGGCCGGTGCCCACGCATCCAGGCTGACAAGGTTACCATGCTTCAGAAGAAACAGCTTCATCTCTGCCACATGCTAGTGCCACCCCCCACTTGAACGGTTCTTATGCCTATGGCATTCTAAAAACAAGCTCACTGGGTGACGCTACTTTGATATACAAATATGTACGTACATGTCTAAACAAAAACAGCTTTGTCAAGCGCTTTCCCTGCTTGGCCTGGACTCCATTCTTCAGGGGGGCTTCTGCAGCTTGACCAATATTTTTTGGTGCTAAGGTCTTCTGGGGCTTCTTACTTTTTGCTTTCATAAACCCTCCTGCAGCTGTACTGACTTTGGTTGTAGGTGGTGGCTTTGAGGGCTTTTTCTTCACACTCATTTTGTTTCAAGGCAGGTCTGCAAGCCTTTGCTGTAAAGGGAAAAAATAAGCATAAATGGCATTATGAGCTAGGGCTTCAAACAGCCAAATTGGGAAGAGTTCACCCTTGAACTGAAATGGTCTTAGGTTACACCAAGCAGTCCTTGCTGCATGTAGTTTTGGCCAGGGGCAGCACCACCTGGGCTCCCTGAGGGCAAGAGGGCATGGGGGGTGGGGGGAGAACACACACTGCTTTGTCATTTTCCACACATGGGCAGACATATAGGCCCCCTTGAATTATCAGAATGTTGCACCAACATATGATCATACCATCATATGAATAGGTTGTTCCAGATGATTGATACATAAATTTGCAAGAGCAAAAGGAAAGGGTGTGCATGAGGCAACATCACTTGAGGCAGCATCACAACAACACAACATGAGGCAGCATCACTTAAGCTGCTATCATGTGCAACTGTTTGTGAAATTCTTGGCACAATGTAAAGCATTGGAAGTGTTTCATAGATAAAAATGTGATGTGAGAAAATTGTGGTAACTTCCATGTGCTTGAAAATTTCATGCCATTTTCAGGATGATATTTGCATGCCATTTTCCCAATTAATTTTCCCATTTTTTTAAGTTAGCCTCATTCACAACTGTGCTACCATGAAAGTGGGACATTGAACATGGCCTATGTGAGTTAGGTTAATAAAAGTGACCTTAAATCTAAGCTGATTGGAAACCATTCACAACTATGGGCCAGTCTGAAAAATTCACTGCAGACACATGCACAACATGCATGCATACATGACCTGTGCTCGTGCGTGCCAAAAACTTGGCGCAATAAGCCTAAGGACCAGCCAACATTGTGCTGAATTTTCAAATCATTTCTGTGTGAACAATGATTTGGAAACATATTTGCAAGAAATTATCTTAAAACATCTGAACTCTTTGAGCAGTGGCTCTCACTGAATTAAAATTGGTGGCAGCCTGCACCAAACTCAGATCATTCTGATTTACAGCATACATGCACTGAAATTGTACATGGCATACTGCTGCTCTGAGGACATGCGTTCAGCTTATCATGTATTTTTGCAGTCTGAACTGGAGCCAAAATGAGAAAAGCACATAACATAATTTGAAAATTCAACACAATTTGGTCTGACCTAAGTTTGATGCACCAAACTCCAGATTAAGCACACTGAATTCATGTAAGCATCCTGCCCAGTGCATGGATTATGGCATCCACAGGATGGACAAACCAAGCTGGAACCTGCAGCAGGAAGCTGACCTGCAAATAGCATGAACAAGCAGCTTCACCCATGGCATGAGAGCAGCCTGAATCATGCTGACCATTAGTCTGCCACACTTTTGTGGTCTGCCATGACCAGATCCCAGATCCCAGATACCCAAATCGCTGCATGCCCCAAAATATTGTGAGCTGCCCCTGGCCACTGCAAGTTGCCCCATTTTAGTGTTCCACCCTAAAAATCACATTTTGCACCAGCCCTGACACAATGAAGTCTCATCACGATCTGCCATGTTTTACGGACCAGGTAAGCAGGACATGACAAGCATGGATAACATCAGAACAATCATTGCATCATACTCATTTAACTTGAGTTTTATCAAAAAATTTCAATGAGTCACTCTGACAAACTGAAAATTGTTATGGAAGACATCACCCAACCTCACAATGTCCTGTAAATCCTATCTATTCCCGTGGTGTGCTGAATAGTTTTCCATCACACAAAAACAAAGGTACAATATAACAAATCCACGAGGCGACCATCACCTTTTGTCACACAACCCTCCACAACATAAGGCCTTTGAAACAATCCCAAGATGTAAGCCAACGAGAGCACACACTTGACTCATACCCTGAAACATTGTCTCAGTCATATTCAGGCTTCGCCCCATTACATATTCCCTATAGTTGCCCACCTAAAAACGCTCACCAAGCACGTCCCTCGACGAGATAAAATTGGGATCCAGGAGCGGGAACAGCTCTGTCCTCCAAATCGCCACCGGTACCCTCCTTGGGCCACACCAGTCCAACAGCAGCCCAGACCAACCGCCAAAGGGCTTCACCGGTTATCAGCGTCCTTTGGCAGGGCCTTCCTCTGGTACAACGCACACCTCGTGGGTATTTCAGCGTGGTGTCTCGAATCTAGCGCGTCGTTTTTGGCGCCGCCATTTGGGGTAACAAGAACTTCAATTTATTCTCTGTTCCTCGTATGCGTTAAGATTCTGACCCTGCTGTGTAAAATACTCATTAAGTTTTATTTACATTTTTCGTGGACCATGATGCCCCACCTAGTGACAAAACTGGTACAACGGACGCAAAATAACAGTTTACCAATAGCTCTTGGTGACTCTGATGGACATCATGATAAGCACAACTTATAAAACGATCGTGAGATGGCGCTTGTCTGTATGATGCTGTACGGATCAAAAATGTATTTGATAGTTTTCCTGCTCAAGGCGCTGCTCCGACTCCTCCTTTCCTCAACTTCCAATTGTTTTGAGAGTCATCTTAGGCCGTTTATTGATAAAATACTGTGTAGGGGACAAACATATGGATGATCTTCGACTCCGCGTGGAGTCGAAGATGACTCCGAAATTTGACAAAGTTGTCGAAATTAATCATTATAATATTTTCCCAACCTTTCTTTCTCCTCCATTCTCGCGACGCCCTGCTTGCCCCGAAAAAGTTGCACACACTAGCCATGTGTGGGCTGTAATGTCCCTGACCTGGACCACCGCCGTACGAGCGCCGAGCACATTACTCTGCATTGGGGATTCCGGGAATGCCTATTCTCGACGGATGGATCCTGACGTGCGTGTTGTTTTGTTCCATTATTATCTACTCTTCTTCATCCCATGGCTCTGCACTTTTCATCACTGATCGCCAATGCGTAAAGCCAAAAAATATGCCATCGATTCATTTGGATTATGTAACAAATGGCCTTATGGCAAATTTACGTACACAAATATTCGTCATACGTTCGTTCACAATCGCAAATCTTCGCGGCGCATATGTTTCTAAACGCCAATGCACGTAGAATGTGCAAAGCTCGCATTAGAAATGTTCGCAAACGTTAATGTTCGAAATACAAATGTTTGTAATCGCACTTGTATCACAATTGTTCACATATGCATAATGTTCGTGTCGGCAATGTTCTTACACAGAAGTGGTTATGCGTTAAGTACTCTAAGCGGAAGTAAAAAAACATAATTTGGATGGATCAGAATTGATTTAAAAAAGCGTTTGAGCGCGGACGTCTAGGTGCCTAGTGGTGTAAAAGTAGTATGTCGCACGCGTTATAATATAAGGTCACTACCTATGCACCGAATTACCTGGGACAATGCAAAGTGTTACAGTCATGTATTTCCCGCCACCCATGTCGTCTGCTTCAGCATCTTCTCATACCTATGTACGCCACTGAAATATTATCACTGTCCTCGTATGCGGCGCCAGCATTTAGAAACAGCATGGTCATGTTGCTGGACGGCTAAAAAAGAAACGATTGCCTGTTGCACCCACACAACTCTAATGATCTGAAGCCACCTCTGCACATTATAATTTCTGTTTGTAAATATGTAATATAGACCTCTTGAATAACTTTTTGACGATGAGATCTAATAACGGTTTAATAATATGGCCTCGTTACCATGGTCAAAAGTCATTCAAGGTACCTCATCTGGAAAGGTCAGAGTCCAGAAGTCTCTCATTGTTCCTGGATCTATCCCTGAAAGTTCACATGCAGCACATATAACTTACATGTTGGCAGCCTGGGTGCAACAACGACCAATGTTATACATTGCTGTAGCCAAACTTCGGCCGGCTTTGAACATCACATTTGCCCGAACGGTCTGTGATTCATTTCAACGTGCATTTCAAAAACCGCTTCTAAAACCACGTCTGGATGATGAGAGGAGCTCAAATTCTGGCATAATTTAAAATGGTATTTCAAAAGCTATTTAGCCTTGGAACGGTATCTAAAACAATTTAAAGTATTGCTACAAAAACATCTGGGCTTAGCAAAACCTCTCAATCAAACTGGGACTTACCTAAGCCCTCGTTCATGAGTATGTGGGGAGTAGGGAGAAGGGAGAGAATAGGGACCATAATAGGGACCAAATAGCATCAGTTTGTACCATGATCACTCCTCTGCCATAACCAATGAGGATAAGACAAAAATTGCTGTATCTGCAGACAGCTATGACCTCATCTTTACACATAGCGGTACAGTTTTAGAGAGCACGTCTTCGTTGGCAGATGACGTCTGAATCAGCACCTTTCAAATAATACAGCATGCCCAAACCCAGGCAGGTCGTATCATTGGCTGGGTTTCATTGTATCACATGGTGAGAAAGTTATGCTTATGTTTTTTTCCACAGGGACAGTTGTATTGCAAGTGACTTGAATGCATCACATGTAGACCAAGTGCACTCGTCTGCGCTATCTCGCATTACGTCGCGATTGAGAACTGGAAATTGTTTCGCCTTTTAAAAAAATCAGTGACTGTTTAATGACCACTGCCATCCCGCAGCAGGGGCGATTTGTATCCTTTTGGGTGGGCTGCTGCTCCCCCCCCCCCCCCCCTATATCAGTTTTCTCTCCCCGAAAAGCGAGTTTGACACCACCCCCCTGGGGCCTAATTATGTGCAACCAGAACTTGAGAAGAAGAGCTAAAAATTGAATGCATTTTAAGTTTTGAATTATTTTGTCGAACTGCGATGCGGTGTGCAGTTGAGTGCAGCTAACGGAGCTAGACAAACTTTTAGAGCTCTGCGTCTGTACCATGTTGCCTGGAGCATCGTTTTTGCTGCATTCTGCACATTTTAATTGCACAATTCAGACGTGTTGTTAACTCTGGTCCAGTTTTGTGTCATTACCTGAGTGTTTCGGAACTATTCAGCGGGGTTTCGAATGCTAAAGATTGCAGCAAACTACGTCTGCTACCACATTCGGGCTATGAGGTGTTATCAGAAAAATGAAACAAATCAGTCGAATATTGTCACAAAAACTGATCAAGTAACTTCCGCTACGTTTGGAAGAATCCCTCATATTTGACAGCCTTCATCTCGACGTACATATTCTGTGAAACAGTATGGAAACCTCATGATTGACACCATGCAAATAAGCCGATGGCGCTTCTTGTGCGACACTGATCAGCAAAACAACACTAGGGGTTTCGAACATGCCTGTCACGAATGCTGCGATGCAGCTTAAAGCCCGCCTTACGGTTACCTGTCGGAGTTTCCGTGGCAGGCTACCGTACTCTCGCACATCAACTTACACTCTTTACCTTCGAAGCCATATACGTCCAACAACGGCTAAAGCCACCCCACTTCGGCTCCATGTCAATGATCGAGACCTGGTTTTAACTACTGAGGCCCAACAAAGTGTTGATAATGCCCGACGACAATGTCTCCCGACATGATAGGGCGAGGAGGCGTATTGTAGCAGGAGTGTAGTTTCATATTCAGCTGGGGGACATTACAGCTTCCTAACTTTGGGAGGAAAGTGGGCCAAATGCAAGGAGAAGTCTATTTTGTTTATCTTGGGACAGGATCATTTGTTCGATAAGGGCATACAGCCGAAATATCGCACCTATATTTGCATTTTCAGTACTGTCTTGTCTATGCGCATAATGTTCCCCGTAAATGCACTTCACAGCTTAAAGGGAATGTTCCACATTTTGTGGCATTTTGATCTACAATAGACATCTTGATGTCCTTTTGATGCAGTTCACGGTCATGTTCCTTTTGAGACCAAAAAAACCATCTGGTTCCTGAGCTACATGCCCGCAAACGTGCCAAAAGGTTTATTTGGAGCCTATTTCAAAGTTGCCTCGGCATTAATGACGTCACAGAGACGTCATGCGATGGCGATCATACTACAGCCTGTATTCTGCTTGTGGTCAAAGCAGCATGGCCGCTGGTACATTCGCAAAGGCGATAATGCGGCACGCATGATGCACAATGCACGCACAATGCCCGAAAGATGATTGGCTGTTAGCAAGATTTCGCTGCTGAATGCGTGTCGCGAACGTACTCGTGAACACTTTCGGGTCGTGCGGCACTCGTCGTGAACAAGTCATTTTTCCTTATTTTTAGACCACAGGTCAATGCAATAAAATAGAACGCCACTATCTGCAAATAAGGTACGGCACCCAAAAACGGGTACTCCCCCGAAAGCTGTAAAAAAAGAAGACGCGACGGCAAAAGTTTTTTCTCTGGCTGGCGTTCTTTCTTCTTAATGATGAACTCACGTTGGGACTTTGTTTTGAAGGGAGGTCGCGGTGAAATGTGGTGTTATGACTGGAAATCTGTGCGGAAGCCGCGAGAAAACCTGCGGTTTGATAGTTCCGCGACCTGTGCAAGTGTGAGATCACACTTAAGAGAGTGTGAATCGGGGGCTTGAAATGTGTGTGATCACTGGTGGTGTGTGCCAGCGGCTCGTTATGATCTTGATGTGATGGGGAGTGTGCGTGCGAGGTTTCTACTTATGAAAGAGAACATTATTTTGGTATTCTTCAAGTCTACCGACTCCCAATAAAATGTGATATATTGATACCTTCCTCTACGTTTATTTTTGTCTTTGAACATGGGCAAGAAACGTGGGCAAACTGAGAGAAGCACTAGCACTTATGTTGCAGGGGTGTACAAAGGCAAGCTGGTGCTTCATTATGATCTTGTCAGCGTTTTGAACCTGTTGAGGTATTGCAGCATGTAATTAATTTATTGTGTGTCATTGTATCGGTATTTCATTTTGGCAGTATGGGCTGGTGCGTACATCTCGTCAATGCACATGCTCAGTACAGGCTCACATTATATGGCTTTGCAAAGTTGTCTTTCCCTGAAGAATTCTGAAATTATAGAGCTGTACCATTACTGATGCACATTGTACTGTCTTCACAAATTTTGTATGCAGGCGAGCATTGCTCGTGAGACAGCAATGCCATAGTCACTGAAACTTGCGTGATACGCTGGGTGCTGAGAGATGTGGAAGTTATTGCTTTCGGTGTCTTGGATGGCAATTATGATATTTTTGTCATGAGCCTTGCGTGTACTGGCAGCTTCATCACTTCCTTGCATTGTGCCTATCT